GACGGACAACCGGAGGGGAGGGGGGAGGCTGCCTCGTGCTGCAACTGCGCAGGCGCACAAAAGGGGACCCTTTGGCCAGCCAGCCCTGTTATTGCAAACCACCTTTTTAAATAAAGCTTTTTTTTTCCTCCTCCTCCCCCAGAAACATTTTATTTTATTTTATTTCACTCTCTTTCCTTTCATGTCCTTTTCCTTTATTTCATGTTCCTTTCTTTGATTTTATTTTATTTTACTTTTATTTCCTTTTACAGTATTTTATTTTACTTTTATTTCCTTTCCTAGCATTTTATTTTATTTCCTTTCATGATCTTTCATTTCGCTCTCTTTCATTCCTTTTTTACTTGGTTTCATGCGGCTTTTCTTCGACTTTCTTTTCTTTGACTTTTGTTTTGTTTTGTTTTCACGATCTCAAATTGTTAAATTTCATTGCCTCTGGCTTGATTTGTTTTATTTAATTTATTTATTCATTTATTAGAGTTCAACCCAGCACACACACACCCCTCCTAGACGGCGTCTACTCGGGGCGGCTTACAAGTATCATTAAAAAATCATAAGCATTAAACAACTGAATCCATAATGTCGTGTATTCAAGATGGGGAATGACAGAAAACATTTGATTTCACTTCCTTTCGATTTCGTCTTCTTCGTTGTGTCGGCTCAGCCCGATGCTTGGCCAAACCTCCCAACCTCTGGCTGCGCAGCCGGACCGGATCGTGCAGCACGCCGTAAAGTGGGGCCTCTGTGGCTTGGATTCAATGTTCCCGCGTGTTCCAGAGAAGCACCGTCGGATTCAGAATTTGGAGCCCGATGCCTCGAACCCGTCATGTTCCTCAAAAACTTCCCTGGACAATTTTATTTTTTCCAGGGTGCATCATCCTACAGAAAGAGGCTGTGTCCACCGGGAAACATCCCTCGCGGCGAAGGGCCGTACGTGGTCTGTCGCGATCCAGTGTGCTGCCATCGCATCCCCGTGCATGCCAGCAGAATTTAGCCCAGAGCGTAACACGGCCTCCGCGCGCCGGCCTTCTTCCCGTACAGCCCTCCAAAAACCAACCCTCTCACCCCGCACGCTTCGATGAATACCAAAGTATTCGAAATCACACATACAAAACCGCCATGACAAGCATACTAGCTTAGCCAGCAGCTCAGAACAAACTGCTCCACTTCTTCTCTGGACTGGGGTTGCCAAATGGTTTTCTAAAAACGAGTGGCCCGCTCTTCTGCGATTCCGGGAGAGTTTCGGATCTCCAGATCCCCAGGCATCTGTTCGGCCTCGCTCTGCGACGAGTTAAAAATGACTCTCTTCGCCTGCAAATCTCTGCTTGGCACGCGCCTATGAAAAGCACAGCTAACGGTGGAGAGTAGAGAAGTTGGCAAGCCTAACGAAATCAGAGTGTGTTTTTCTTTTTCTGCACGCTCATCCGCAGAGAGGGTTGCCAAATTTTTAATCGGTACAGTGGTATTTGCCTATACAGTAAAAAGCCGGACATAATGTATCTTTATTGGGTTCTGTTTTCCTGGCGTGAATGAGGAATCTACATTTGTTAGATGTGGCTACCCTCTTAAGAGGAAAAAGCACAGCATTTCACTCCCCGATCCCCATTAAATGTACACTTACTTGCAGCCTTGCATGCTGCCTCTACTGGGTGTGGCTGGAAGGGACCTTTATAGGCTCAGGTGACTGTATATCTACTCAGCACTAACCAATACCAATAATTTCTTCCAGCTTTGCAATCTATAAAAAGACCCGCCTCTATGCCGAGTGTCTTTTTCCCTCTCTTTCCTCCGTTGGCAGCAGTTGTTTCTTTGCTGTTGATCAGTTCGGTTGGTTGCTACGCCTATGTGTGCAAAGAAATTGTTTTTCTGATATTCTCCTAGAAATATCTCAAAGTGAGTTATTGAGACTAAGTGCCTGTTAAGGAGGGGAAAAGGGGGCGACTCTGGGGCATTCTTCTCTATGAATCTCTGCACTTCTACTGCATAGCAAAAAAAAAATTATTAGAAATTCAAAACTATGCAATATATTTGTAAGTATATTGCAGAAGGGGAAAAACAGCAGGAGACAGGGATATTGAACTGCTGCTACAATCTGTGACCTGATTAATGCCATCTTGATTTAATGTATGCATTCTAATTAATTACTTGATTAACAATCAAATATATTTGCATATAGGTGAAGATCAGTTTGATGCTAAAACACACTTCCTTTGATTTCGGATTACAGTACATGATACAGCAGAATCATAAAAAAGTGATTCTGTTGAAGAGAGAGGCAGGAAGGACTTTGAAGATGATGATTACCATTTTTCATTTCTTGCAATAACACCACAGAACAGTATTTTTTTAACTACAGCACCCCGAATCCCCTGAGATTGGCCACAAAGGAGTTTTAGCCCAGACAAGTAATTTTCCAAAACTCTTCTTAATCTTCACCTATCCACTGCTAGATTAACTGGGGCATAAATTTTCATCACAGACATGGCACAAATATAAAACTCGACTGTGCTAAAGGGCTTTTGATCTGTGAGACTTCCCCCACCCCTCTTCGGCTGGTTTTTAGAAAATGCCTAAAAGGATGTTTTTAATTTTTTTAAAAAAAATGCTTTTAATCTGATCATCATCCTTTTAATCTATGAGAAATTGCTTTGGGGGTACTGGCTAGATAGGAAAGAAATAAACCAATGTTTTGAATAACACACATAAACAAAATTGGCGTGTGGGGGGGACAGAGGTTCAGTCCCAGAATCTCTAATTAAAGGGGGTCGGCAACATGAAGCCCTCCAGATTTTGCCCCACTGCAGTTCTCCTGGCCCGTTTGGATATACAGGACCACATCTGCCAAAAAGTATTGTCCCTGACATCACCAGGAGGACTGCAATAGACCTGCCCCGATTTAAAAGATCAGGTGACAAATAAGAGCGGAATTATAAGGACAGCTCAGTGGTTTAGGCCTTGGTTGTGAGTTCAAATCCCCTCTGGTCCTCCTTGAAAGGGGTTGGTGAGCCATAGAGTCCCTTCCACCTCTGCAGTTCTGAGATGGAGATGATTGTTATTATTCATCCTTGGGGAAAGCTACAAATAAAAATAGTTAATACTGAACTGGAAGGAAACTAGTTTGACGTGGTTGGTAGAAAGAAGATTCTCCTGCTCAAGGATTAATTCACAAACCACCTTATCTGACCAGTTGATTAACTGCTGCAGGTTTGATAATAAACTGATTATTTGCAATTAAATGAGTACTCGGGTGTCCTTCTCTGGAAACAGCAATATATATATATACATATTAATAGCATTTGCATGACATCTAGTGGCTACTGTGGAAGGAGCATTTTTCCTGTGAAAGGAATAACACTATTGTGCAACACAAATATGGTGTTGTTGATTAGGGCTTGGCTTCTTGTGCACGTGTGTGTTTTTAATTAAAAAGATATCCGTACGTGGTTTGTGATATGTTGTGGTTTCAATGTGGTGGAAACAATGTGATGATGGTTTTGGAAAGAGTTGTCAGCTTTACAACAGCAGTTGGGGTTTTTCAACAGCCACTATAAAAGCCAACACGAGCGTAAATATATGGGTTTTTTTGAAAAGTAGCACAAATATCAATTTTGCTCTTTCTGACAATGCTGTTATTCTGTGCCGTCAAATTGGAACCAATGTATAGCAAACTTGAAAGGTTTTCAAGGTAAGCGACATATTTAGGGACTGGCTTTACTCGTGCCAACACTCTTTCTTACAATGCTGTTATTCTGCGCCGTCAAATTGGAACCAATGTATAGCAACTCTAGTAAGGTTTTCAAGGTAAGCGACCTATTTAGGGACTGGCTTTACTCGTGCCAACCCCTCTAGTAAGTTTCCATGGCCAAGGGAGAATTCGAACTCAGATCTCCTGAGCCCCGCTCCCTCATTCGATCCACTACATTACACCGGGTTCCTCCGTTTCTTAGACCAGGACTATTCAAACTTCAAGGTTATTCTTTTCCAAAGCAGAAAGGCCAAATTGTATTTCTCTATTTGCATGAGCAGTAAATAAGAAGATTAAGTGCTAAATTTGAATTTTATTTGTCTCAACCTGTTTCTGCTCTGTTGTAAAGGCGTTCTGCTAAACAATATAACTTTTGTCCTACTGTGAGTAAGAAGGACGAGTGTGAATCTTAAAAAGTTACCCACGAAGCTCCTCACATCTGATGCCTTGTGTACAACTTTTCAAAGCAAGGAGAGACCCACATTGTACTCACCTACCGTGCCGTACGTGTTAAGCGGAGGCGCCTCGCAGGAAAAACAGATGGCCGCAGGGTTCGTGGGCCGAATACACATCAGTCCAGTCCAGCCCTTGGGGTGTTCTGCACTCAAGAGATCTGTTCCTGAACGGGAGCAATACGTGAGCTTTAATTTCAGCCACACATGCTTTTTCTTGTCTTTAATTATCTCCAGATTTTACCATAAAAAATACAGCACTGGAAGACGGAAACAAGCGTTTAAACATCTAGAAATGAAATTCACCGCCAGTTCTAGTAACAATTCTTCCCAAATATTTCACATGGGTATGTGTGTGTTTGTGTATATATGTGTCTGTATATTTATATACATATATACAGAGGCACATACACACGTGTGTCTATACTGTATATAATATTTTAGATATACTGTATATAGCATAAATATAACTACAGATTCTGATGCATTACATAAATATATGTAAGTAGATTCTGACACATATGTGTGTGTTTGTGTGCATTTATATATGTAGTATGTGTGTGTATATATATATGTGTGTGTGTGTGTGTGTGTGTGAGTATTATACACACACACACACATATATATATATACACATGTGTATATGTGTATTTATATTTGTATGTACACACGGACATTCCAATAATGGGGACTAGACACACACACACACACACACACACACACACAGAGGCAGGGCAGGAGGGGGGCGGGGCTCCTCGACCCGAACCCAGGTGGGCGCCACGAACTGGAACGAACCAAACGAAACGCCACTTCGGCTTTGCCCACCCTTCTCTGGAAGCCGCCTGGAGCTCCTCCCTCTCCTTGGGATGAAAACGGAAGAGATCCCCATCAATCAATCAATCAATCAACCAATCAAAACTACCGGTGGGAAATAAGAGTTTGGGGGACAGAAATCCACGTCGCCCACCTGGACTATTCGCCCATTTTTAGGATTTTGCCAATCTAAACTCGGAAACTCCCTCTGCCAAACGCGGGGCGCTCACTTCTCCGGCGTCGCTCTAGGTCGCCGCACATGCGCGTTTTCTAGAGCCGGGCCTGAAAATGGCCGTCCGTTCGGCACAACGCGCCCGCTCTTGCCCTCGCCTCTATGGCGCCGGTTGGTTCCGCGGCTCCCTCCTCCCCCGTTGCCCTTTGACCCAGGAAGTGGGCGGGGCCGGGAGGGAGATGTTGACGCTGGACTAAAGATGGTGGCGTGTGGGAGTCTCGGCGGCGGCGGCGGTTCCTCTTTGGCGCCCTCGGCCGGGGCGGCTCCGGGGAAGGCGGGGGTCGGGTCCCTGGTGGCGGTGCTGCTGGCGGCCTTGCTGGGCGGAGGCCCTGCGCAGGCCCGGGTCCACCACCTCGCCCTCAAGGTAGGCGTTACTGGCTGGGATTACAAGGCCCAGAATCCCCTCACCCACAGGGTCTGGGAAGCGTTACTGGCTGGGATTACAAGGCCCAGAATCCCCTCACCCACAGGGTCTGGGAAGCGTTACTGGCTGGGATTACAAGGCCCAGAATCCCCTCACCCACAGGGTCTGGAAAGGGTCACTTTCTGGGATCACAAGGCCCAGAATCCCCTCACCCACAGGGTCTGGGAAGCGTTACTGGCTGGGATCACAAGGCCCAGAATCCCCTCGCCCGCAGGGTCTGGGAAGCGTTACTGGCTGGGATCACAAGGCCCAGAATCCCTTCACAAACCGCGCCTGGGGAATCATTGCTCGCTGCCACTATAAATCCCAGAATCCCCTCACCCACTGGGTCTGGGAAGCGTTACTGGCTGGGGTTACAAGGCCCAGAATCCCTTCACAAACCGCGCCTGGGGAATCATTGCTCGCTGCCACTATAAATCCCAGAATCCCCTCACCCACTGGGTCTGGGAAGCGTTACTGGCTGGGATTACAAGGCCCAGAATCCCTTCACAAACCGCGCCTGGGGAATCATTGCTCGCTGCCACTATCAGGGTCTGAGAAGTGTTCCTAGGTGGGATTACAAGGCCCAGAATCCCCTCACAAACTGGGCCTGGGGAATCATTGCTCGCTGCCACTATAAATCCCAGAATCCCCTCACCACCCGAGAGGGTCTGGGAAACATTGTACTCACCAGGACTATAATCCGCCACGATCTGGACTCCCGCCTTTATCTGGACTACGACTCCCAGCATGACCCAGAAGTGTTCCTAGGTGGGATTACAAGGCCCAGAATCCCCTCACAAACTGGGCCTGGGGAATCATTGCTCGCTGCCACTATAAATCCCAGAATCCCCTCACCACCCGAGAGGGTCTGGGAAACATTGTACTCACCAGGACTATAATCCGCCACGATCTGGACTCCCGCCTTTATCTGGACTACGACTCCCAGCATGACCCGGGGAACAGTAGGAGCTTGGACGGCAACCCCCAGCGACCTCCTGCCCTGCGCTGAGGGGCTCCCACGGGGGATTCTGGGGCATGTAGTTCTAGCAAAGGCTTCTTCCCAACTCAGAAGGAGATCCACAAACCCCGGTGAGGGGCTACCAAGGATTGGGGCTGGGGCTCCAAAAAAGAGGCCACTTTGCGTCATTTTAAGGAGAACAGCAAGATAAAAATAGGTTAGAAAAAGAGAGAGGGAGATTTGCCCCCCCAAAAAAACGAGGAGAAAAGAATGTATATCCTTTTAAATAGGTAATGATGATAAGCTTGGATTTGGGGGGTGGGTAGCCACGTTCTCTTGGTGGACGAGCATCTCGGACAACGGTCTAAAAAAGAGGACAGGGTGTGTGTGTGTGACTGTCCCGCCCGGGTCCAGGGCACCCCCTCGGTATCCTGGCTTGCTTGAATAAAGACAATCCTAGGGAAAACATTGCTCTCGTGTAAATAGAAACGTGGCACGCTGTGCTGTAACAAGGAAAACTGGAAATGGGTCTCCTTTGTGTTTTGCTGCTCCGTCTGTCAATGGGCAATGCGGCTGTGGAGCCAAAGAGTTGGGAGTTCGAATTCCCCCCTACCCCCACTGGGCTTCCTTGACAGGGCCGGACTCGATGATGATTCACAGGGTCCCTTCCCAGCTCTGCCGTTCTGAGATGATTATTTTGATCCTGTCTCTCCCTTCTTAGGGTTCTGTCTAGACATTCGTGGGATCCGAATACGAATCGCATGAGGCTTGATTTACCATCGTGCCGGCCAGTTGCACCCATGACGAATCTGTTTTTCTTCCTCTTTCCTGGGCTGCTTTCTTTCAAATCGTTGCTTAAGATCAGACCGTAAAAAGTTTTGCTCATTCCCCTCGCTCAGAGCTAAGCTAATCGGTGGCCGTTGCGATGACTCTGTTTCCTTTTTTCTCAGAACTGTTCCATGCTCAGACTTCTGGGTGTGGAAATTGCAGTCCCAAACAAGCCTTCTCTTAATTTCCCTTCCCCAAACTTAGCCTGTGTTCACAGCCATTTAAAGTACGGGTGTACGGCGTTGTGGTTGCGTTGAACCTTGTGTGTACGAATCATGGTTTCCAAGAATTAAATCACTAAAAAGGTTCAGAGGATATCCAGGGCTTAATCAGACCCCGGGGTCTGATTTTATTCATTAAATAAAATTAATGAAAGAAAGTGAGAAAGTCCAGTGTTATTGACCACCCAGCAGTGGGCATTCTTGAATTCCCAACAAAACGTAACTGAGAATTCACTGGCCCAGTCCATTCCTATGCATTGTTAACTATTCTTTAAAAGATCAAATGCATCCCATAATCTGTGGTGGAGCTCTGTGTGTGCCCATAGCTTTTCAGAATTTCGGGCAAATGTCTTTCCCAGTCTTTTTGCCTAAAAGCGCCCTCCTGTCCAGAATGCTTCTACTGTTGTGTCTTGGCGTTGGCCAACGGTTGGGTTAGGCCACCATTTCCCAAACCTTGGGTCCCTGGATGTCCTTGGACAACAACTCCCAGAAGCCTTCACCACAAGCTGTGCTGGCCAGGATTTCTGGGAGTTGTAGTCCAAGAACATCCCAAGATTGGGAACCACAGCTCTCTAGACGATGTGTGGAGTCTGTTCCAACTTGACAGTTCTGTGATTGTAGGAAATCCCTCGGCTCCTTGGTGGCGTGTCCAGGCACAGCAAAGGAAGAACCTTTTTTCTTGCAAGGACGAATATAATGAAGGAAGAAAAGAAAGCATTCTTGCCTTTGTCTCTTGCTGTAGCTTTGGCTATAAAGTCGTTTATAGTGGGCGCCTAGGAATTTGCGTTTGGGGTGTGTGAGGATGGCGTCAAGCGGATGTGTCGGCCTGAGCCAAAGTTCTCTCCTACCAGACGCACTAAAAATAAACAAGGCACAAAACGGCAAAACCAGTCCTTCCAATAAAAGGTGCCATACGGAGGAGGCCCGGAGGGGGAGCAAAAGAAGGCGTCTGGAGCCCTTTTCCAGAACAACAGCCATCGCTCAAACCCGGCCTCTGCAACCCAGAGGCAAGCTGACCTCGAGGCCAAAGACGTGCTGAAGACACTTTCATATTTATATGATTTATTTGCCTCCCTGGTTCTTCACCCAGAGACCAATTGTAATTATAAGAGACCCCACCCCACCCCGTCGTTCATTGGCATGGTCACTCTTTTTCAAGAAATAACTTTGCACTTTCCCCTTTCTTATGCGTAACTAAAACAGATTATTGTGGTTTCTTTTACAGAGAAAAGTCTAAAAATCTCTGTTTCTTCTCCTTGCCGGTCTGATGGTATGAGCCGTGGCTGTCATCCCCCCTGGACCCATTGATTTCGTTTACCTATCCCTTACAAATAAAATAATATAGATATTTTTTAAAAAAAACAGTTTTTATGTACAAGACCCCTGATATTTCACAGCTCCCTCCCGTCATTTGTGTGTATAAATAAAAGGTATTTAATTGAAGGTAATGACAAAGTGAGTAACAAGCGCCCTTGATGAAAGTCGGTGCTTGAGGCTGGGTGTGTGTGAGAAACTCTCTTCTCTTAAGTAAAGGCTGATTATCATCAGTATGAAGGATGTCCTCTCCCTTCAAGGCTCATGTCGGGACTTGCACGAAGCACCTGTCGCTTTTTAACTTCTGGTTTCCTTTGTGGGGTATTCGGAATAATTCCGAGCACAGCTTATTTGTCCAGGATTCCAGATTTACAGAGCCGGTTCGGAACGCGCCAGGGTTCAGGGTCTAGATTTCGTACAGGTGATGGGCGGCGGGTCTGTGTATTTTACCTATCGGCTTTAATTTCTACTCTAGAAGCACCGCTTGATGGATTAAGTAAATTCCCAGCCTTTACCTAAGAGATTCATACCGTAAGGAGATTTTTTTAAAAAACTGTCTTCCTTGCTCATCCTTTTCAGATTTGCCTGCAGCTCCCTGCCCACTAAGGGAAGATAGGATTTCTCTATCAGAGCATAAAGACACGGTATTTAGGCAAGAATTACTCTGAGACCAGTGTTTCTATGCTAATACATGTAGCAAGCAATGCATAACAAGATCCGGTGCACGTTACACAGCATGAATGTAGATTCCCTGAAACACACTGGTGAAATAATTTCTTCTTAGCAGCCCCGTCAACCTCGGAGAGGAGACATTTTTTTTTCCAGTTCCGGAAAAATGCAGCCAGCCTCTCTCTTTTTTTTGTCATCTTTTGTACCGTTTTCAAGAGCATCCATCTCGTAGCATCCAGACAATTTCTCACTTTCAGAGAAAACTTAGACACGAGGGACAACTTGACAAAATCTGAAACAGAATGATGGTCGCATGTGTTGATGGGATGTGAGAGATAGATTTGCAGTGCAGTAGGTTCCCCGCTCTGTGTTTTATGACTTTATTGTCACTTGATGCGTCCTTGATTTATTATCTCCTATCTTCGTATCTCCTTAGCAGGTTTAATATTGTGTTTAATATTGTGTAACGATCTTCCACCTTTTGCTGCTCTGTTCAGAAGGTCAGTTTGATCAGCAGGCCCATTCAGTTCGAAGAGAAGTGGCCCCGGGTGCTTGTTCTTTGTTTAATTGATCTCGTCGGGTTAAACGAATCTTCAGGATTAAAGAACATGTCATCTGATAAAGCATTTAATCCTGCAAGACGTTGTGCTGTCGGGTTATCTAATTATCTCTTTCAGTAGCTCCTAACAATAATAACCCACCGTCCGAACAGGGAAGCTATCCCTATGGGCTCGTGCGCTTCCAGTTTTTTTTTACAGCATCATCATCCTCACCTCCTTCTCTTCCTCCTGCAGGATGATGTGCGGCAGAAGGTCCATCTCAACACCTTCGGCTTCTTCAAGAACGGGTTCATGAAGGTGAACGTCAGCAGCGTCTCAGTGAAACAGCTCAAGAAGGACGATAAAAACTACCAGGTAAAAGGCTTCCGTTCTAACCAAGGTTGTCCAGTAAACCTCCAGAGAAGAACTGAAGGATAAAAGGGGTCCTCGCAGGTGAGGATTCTCCTCTCCTTGGCTCTTTCATGAACCAGGGATTAGAAACCTGATGCCTTCCATATCCTTTCGGTTAATTCCTATCAGCTAAAGCTAGCCTTGTGTGGCTACAACTCAACTCAAAGGCACTTTCAGTTTGCCCTGGTCAACCCGATTCAGAGCTTTAGATGAAAATTAACTTTTTTAAAAACAAAAATACTTCCCCTCCCCCCTTAGTGACTTCCCCCTCTGGTGACTCCCCTTGAAAAATTCCATATAATCATGTTTACCTCACACAGAAATTCAACTGTTTTCAGAATATGTGTATTTATTTATGACGGTCAATGACCAGGAAAATATAAAAACACATTATTTAGATAAAGGAAGACTGGTGACCCTCATATTTACTAAAACTGTTCTCTTGATTAGGGTGAATCTTTTCCAAAAATGTTAAGCTTTCTTCATGTGTTGCTAGTTTGAAAATTAACATATTTTGAAGCAGAGGTTGTTTTAGAGACGCTGATCCTGGTTTAAAGAATGTAATTCTAAGAGCTTTAAACTGTGATGGATGGTTCATCCTTCGATCCTTTCCGTTTTAGGTGGGCTTCAGCTTAGACCGGACACGGAATGATGGATTCTCTACTTACTTGGTAAGAGCCCAGGGGGGTGTCATGTTTTCCGAGAGAGAGAGAGACAAGATGGGTTTGAAAATGAGCCTGGTTTTGCTGTCTCGTCAGGCTAAATTTGTCCTGATTTGATCCTATGTGGCAGCACCTTTTCAATTAATGTCCACTTGCTTGAAAAGTGATGTTCCCCCTACATCAGGACCTCCTGGCTGCTCTGATTCACTCCTCTTATGGGGGGAGAACAGTGCAGAACGCTGATGGAAAGCCGGTGGGTCAGCCCCACATGGACAGCCTGGGGGGGGGGAATCATCCTCAACATCAGCACATTACCTTTGATTAAAGACAATTTCAGGTCCGCACAACTGGCATACACCCCAGATGCACCAAAGGAAACCTTTAATGATTAAAGTTTAATCAGAGATGATTTCCCACTTCCCCATTGTGTGTGTGTGTGTTGCTTATATACTGCCCTATAGCACTTAAAGCGCGCTCTGGGTGGTTTACAGTTTAATTATGCAACCTACACATTTCTTCCACCACCCCAGTGATCTCGATACTCCGTTGATCAACCTCAGAAGGTTGGTAAGTCCACGGAGTCGCAACCTCAACCTGAGCCGGTCGGGGTAGAACTCGGCTAGTGAGCAGAGTCTCGACGGCAGTCCTGCAGTGGAACCACTTGCACCAGAAGGCTGCCGGTCGAGTGGCAGAACAGGATGTCAAACGCTGTCTCTTCCATTTCTTCCCCAGGATGAAGAAGTGGACTATTGCATTTTGAATAAAATCCCAGACCGCGATGTCTCGGTGACGCTGTTGCTCCTGGACTTTACAAAGAAGGTGTAAGTGACTCTGGCTTCACGTCTTCCGGGCTCTTCCTAACCACCCAGGACCCTCTTCTGGGGCTTGGTCTCTTACTAGGAAGCTGAGTGCGCTCCTGGAATATTGAGTATTCAACATAGAATGGGGGGATAAGAAAGAAAAAAAATACAATCTCTTTAAACACATTTAATACAGAAATAAAACTATAAAGCTTAATAGCTGCAAGAATATAGTAGTAGCCCCCCCCAAATCTGCCAGTTCTGGTAAATAAACCCCAGAAATATGTACGTATAGAGTCCCACATATTCAGTGCTGCTGTCCTCGCCTTTTTTGCCCTGTCGTAAAGAGGTTTCTCTTCCCCAGAAAGATCATTCCGTCTCTAGAAACCAGTCGCCAATTTCTTACCTCTTGGGCTGTTCTGTTTGGTTTTCCTGACGCCAGGGGGGGCACCCCTTTTGTCTCTTCGCAGGGTGAAGGTCAAGTCCAAAGTCAACACTCCCACGTTGCCCGAAATCATCTTTAATGATTCTCAAGGAAACGCTCATTCGGGAACCACTCAGAAGTCTGGTAAGCCTTCCGTCGCCAAAGGAATAAATAACCTCCATTTGGTCTCGGGTGTAAAAAAGAGGAAGACCATTTTCAATAGCCGTTTCGCATTTGTTACCCATGGAGCGATCATAGTTGAGGGCTACGATAGGATTACAGTAGGACCCCTATATCCATGGGCTTGGTCTCTGCAATCTGACAATATTAAAAATGTTAAAAGAAGAAAACTAGAAATACATATTTCCACAATGTTTTTACCAGGAATTGGGTTCCGGTGTCTGGGTACCACAGCACTAGACACAAATTGCTCCATCCCTCTCAGGATGATGAGATCAGCAAGGGGCACTTTTAACAGGCCAGGGGAGGGGTTGAGATTACGCCCAAAGGCCCTTTTCATTTGGATTTGCCTGATTTAGCTTCCCATGTATTTTTCTCCTCCTAGATTCGAAGCAGACACTCAAGCCAAACGCCACCGAAACTGAGGTAAGAATCGAGCAGCCCTCTGAATGCCGCAGAAAGCAGAGGGGGAGTTGGGTTCCCAGAAGGGGAGCGTTTCTTAACCTTCCCGTGGCTTTGCCCCATGCCTCTGGCTTGGAAGTGTTAAAAAAGCAGCATTAGCTAGATCGTTCTGTTCCCACAATCCAGAAGGCTCATGGGACCTTTTTGGAAACACACAGAAACGAAGCAGTGGACTTCATTTTTGCTCCAGATAAGCCCTAATGCGTTTTTTGGAGCAAAAATTAATATAAGATCCTGTCTTATTTTCGGGGAAACACGGTATTGCTTTGGAAGCCCATCGTGGTAGGAGAGTGGCGTATAAATCGTGAAGGCGTTTTCTAGGAACTGGGTTATAAGGTTGGGTCTTCTGTTCAAACATAGTTACCCCTGTACTATGTCCCTCTTTCAGTCTGCTTGTATTTCACTTGTGCAATAGTGAGTTGGAAGTCACTTGGATGTTCTTATTTATCCTGGGCCAGGCACCTGTAGAGAGAACGCATCCCATTGAAAGCAAGGGCGATGGCTATTCATTCACGGTAAGTCCTCCTCTTGAGTTGGTCAAGTCAACCGCAAAGGTTTGGAAGTCCGCTTTCGTGCCGGGTGTAAAGCGTTGGTTATGACATAAAAAGAAAATTGCATGTGGAATGTGCTGCGGCAGGGGTGACACAGGGGACCCTCCCTCTGTGCCTTCAAAAAAACAGCACTTTTTGGGGAAGTCTGTAAGGAACTTCTCCTTCCTCGATGGAGCGCGTGGAGGACGAAGAAGTTCTTCTTCTTGGATTTTTTCTTCCGGATCTTTGTTTTTTAAAATGTGTTTTTATGATTTTTGGGGGCACTTTTGTTTTACTTCTCCGTACAACGGCTGGAGTAGCAGTTTGCCGGATGGGTGGTATAAAAATTGAAGATGTAAATAAGCAAGCGAGTGAGTGAGTGAATAAAATTTAGATGATAATTCTTTTGCCCACTAAAAATTGAATAATAAACTAGCCAGCTGGCTAGCTAGCTAGTTAGTCAATAAATAAATAAATTCAAGAATACAAACAAATAAATATTTATTTACACCATTTGTTTTTGAGCACTAGAGGGCAGGAAAGAGTATTTTCCAGTAAGTAAGAAAGACCCAGGTGACTCCTGGCTTATAGGAACAAATTGATTTTTTTACACATTGCTTCCACACACACACCCGAAATCTAGCCAGGGGATCTAGTTTTACCTAAAATCCGTCCCTAAAAAAGCCTTCTCTTATATGAACCTCGGCCATGCTGTTTCATTTCTTTCCGGATGCGTCAAGGGCTCCTGCCAGTAGCAGCCCTTTGGATGAATGCATCGCATTCCTGCCTTGAGCAGGAGGTTGGACTGG